CTTATAAATCCATGCAGTGGCGAAGCTGAGGGAATTCGACTAGTCATGCTCTAAGACCCGCACAGGCTAGGGGGGTCCGGGGGCATGCACCCCCGGGAAAATTTTGATTTTCGAAGTCTGGAATGGCCATTTCCTGCGATTTCAGGGTGAAATTCATGCAAAGAAAGCTACAAAAAAGTGTGATATAAAGAGGAAAATTCTTAATACTTTTTGTTTTTGAAATTTGTATTTCCACAAAATTTAATTTTATTTCACTATATATTTAAACTTATCTGCAAATGACGCTCAATATAGCCAATATTGGCAGAAGAAAGAGGAGAATATTGTATGTGTACATTTTAATACCCTGCTGAGTGCTGTAATATGATCTTTCATTTGCAAATTGCGTAAAGGTCAACTGTAATGTACAGTGTCTACAAGGACCTTGTAAATCTGAAGCAGAAACCTAATGTTGAAAGATACTTTGTTTAGATATTTGGTATATCTGTAAACCTCAAAATATATAAGCACTCGTGAATAAAGCAAATGAACTGGTAGTAAATATATTTATATCAATAGGAAAGGCCTTCACAAATCTTGTTTATATTCGCCATTATAATACAGTAGAATACACAATCGAGTCTGTTCACATGCATTTCGTGAACTAAAATATCGTGTTAGAAGCCAGAAGGCCTTCCTACTATTCACTCGATTGACGTTGGTCAATTTCCATAGATACATAACCAAGATCACTTGAATAAATCTCGATAGAATTGCTGAATAATTTACGGCATTTAACTTGGTCGTGCTTTCGAAGATGAGCACGACCAGAAGATAAAATTCGGCGAGATACGCATGCGCGAGGAGCAATTTAGCCAATAGAATGCGTTGGAATTGATAATTTAGTCGTGCTGGCCTGACGAGAGCACGACTAACGGGCGGGTTACCCATTAGTCGTGCTATTAACCTGCGGTCGGGTGAAACTACGCAATCATACCTTGAATTGGTTTAAAATCATGGCAAAATCACCGGATTTGAAGGGATTTCGCACTTAATAGATGACGCAAGTGTACGACGAATCATTTTTAAAATTTTGGGGGAATTTGTTTTTAAGACTAAAAAATTATTTTCTTTGAAAAAATTTTACTCGTGCTCAGCACGACTAGCACAACCTCTAGCTTCGCCACTGCCTATATGATCATTTTTGGACTGGAAAATATAAATGGTTGTCTTATAAATACAACTTTGTGAAATTTTTAGGGGGAACAGTGTTTGGGCCAATGGGAAATCAGGCCACAATTTCAAGGGAAGGAACTGTCACATTTGCAGTTGTTATAGTAATTGATGAAACATTCGAGCCAGATCTGCAGAACGTGAATAGTTTGGCTTTCAAAAATATGACAAGGAGATTCCTCGAATTCTTGATTCCATTATACCAAAATAGAACTGGTTTTCTCGGCATTATCTTTATTTCATATTCCGGGGGAAGTGTTGTTGCAAATGTTGAATTATTATTTAATTCGAGCGAACCAATTCCGACTGTTGAGGAAGTTCGATCACCAATCGCTGAAGCAAGAGATAATGGATCTGCGCCGTTCACTATTTCGAGTTTAAAAGTCACGAGAAAGGGCGAGTCACAAGATGGATTCGAAGCTTGGAAGATTGGTGTCGCTGTTTGTTTTGCTTTCGTACTTCTTCTTCTTATTTTTATTTCAGCTGTGGTGAGTATTAGTTTTACGTTGGGAAGGTTAAATGCAGGCAGTAATAAAATGATCTGCTTATAAGATTGCTTATTGATACCTTTTTGATAGTGTCGCCATTAGCCTATACATTAGGCCTATGTCAACAGTAACAAGACAAAAAAGACAATACAGCTAAATAATAAATTTTGTGTGGAAGGAGGAACAAATACGGTTTCCTTTTCTTCCAGTTTGTGCCAAACCAATCACAAAACATGATTAGGCCTATTTTAGGTTAATATTTCCTTTATTTACACTTTTGGAGCATAGAAAAGGTGTAAAATTGTAATTGACTGACACGCATTGAAATGAACATTAAACTGCCTTTTCGAATTCCGTTCGAATGTTTAGAAGATTGTTACATACAATGTCAATGTGAACCAAAAAAATTGTTCCCTGACAGCAACGTACCCTACATGATATTTATTTATTGACACATTTATTCATGAACGTTTTCTATATTAATTCCATACCACACAAAACAACACCAATCGTAACACACCTCATCATACGCAAAAATATCTTGGATAAAATATCCTCCCATGATAAATCTATGTCCAAACAAACTATTTTCGTATCCCTCCTCTTTTGATATTTCGAAAACGAATGCAAATTTATTATTTAGATACTCGACCAAAAGTAGTGAGTTAAACAGTCTGTACTACAATAGCATTTGTGACTTCAATGGAAAGTATCTGTAAAAAAAATTTGTTCACGGGAAGTGCTTTTGTATTGTGTTTTCCTCGCTCATTACATTCACTAATTCGCTTTGTGAAAACAAATTGGTGTGTGCAAAAATACCACATGCGGGACTTCCCATGAAGAATTGTTTTTTTCTAGAACCTTTCACTAGAGAACGATGTGCTTTCATATTTTGCAAGTAGTATGTATCTATTTTGTCGTTAATTATGAAACGATCTTCTAGGAAATTGCTTTTTTGATTGCAGGTTATTGTTAATGGACGCAAAGGAAAACAGACACGGTATAATTTGAAAGATCGTAGAAATAGCTTTGACTTGGATTTTGATCTCTTTTCCTCCGATGGTGATAAATCTAATGGCATTCCGGTATGAATGACATGTCTTATTTTAACTTACAAATATTTGAAAATATTTGGAAACGATTCGGGGCTCGTAGCTCCTATTTTTGAATGGGCCGTTTTCTACATATACCACACAGTTACTTAACTATAATTACATAAATGCTATGACCAAACAATATAACAAAACATAATAGTAAAATAAAAATAGCAAAAATATTAATATATTTGCATGCTGTAAATAACATTAAAAACTCATTAATAATTCATAAGCGTGTCGTATGTATATGTGTGATAGAGATTTCCCTTGGATTTACATAAACTTTAACTTTGATTACACAACGTATTTCTTGAGAATTACTTCGCCAATGAACTTACTAGATCCATCGTTTTTGAAGCAATTTAAAACCTTCGCATGCAGTGTGTGTTTTATCAGACCTAAAGATACTCGGCTTCGCCTCGTATGTTTACAGCTGATAAAACACTGTCTGCTGCTTATTAACCATATTTACAAAGATAATGTTAAATCATGCGGGTGCCGTAAAGAATGCATTTAAATTTCTTAAAGATGATGTCCACTCCTGTGCACATGCGCGAACTTTGTTTACGTTTTGAACTGCTATACTTTTAAAATATGATATTCTAACTGAATATCTTAAACTTTTCTGGTTCGCTTTACTTACAAATGAATATAAACTGTAAGTTTCAATTCAATTCAAAAAAGTTCGAAAGATGCAAAATTTGGGCAATGTTTATATCTGTGGGTCCCCCTTTGTTATAAGCAGAACGGAGTGGACATCATCTTGAAGGCTCATGCATTTTTCTTCGGCTGTATGCTCTTCTTCATAAAGTTTGTTTCTAGCTTTCCAGATACATAATTGCTGTTATATATCAATATAGTGTGGTAATTGTGTATATACACGCAGTATCTAGGAAGAAGTTATATTAATAAAGTTTTTACTTTTTTATTATTATCATGTTATCATATTATCGTATTTTATTAACACTGGTTCTTACTTCTTTTTCTAGAATTACGCGGAGTCATTTGAAATGGACGAGAGAGGCGACATTTATATGTAATCAAAAAATGAGAAGCCCATATTGCCTAAGTAAAACTAGAAACTGCACCAGATGTAGAAACAAGCTTAGATGTCTGAAGATTTGTAATCCAGGCACAACATTATGCATGGATTACAAATCTTCTGACTTATTTGTTGAAGTTATACAGGTTGAAAAGATAACTTTTATCGAGCATTCAGCACGGTTCTTCGAAACATATATATTCACAGCACTTCGCACAAATACGAATATACTTATTAACTTCAGCATTACCATATAAAGGGCATGAAATATTATGCGTGCAATACCCCACCTCCAAATCATTACTTTCTTGCATATATAAGCACAGATATGGGAGGTGGTGGAAGTATGGTAGGTCAAAATACTTTCGCCAGTCACGTGCACACACATAAAAACACAGATGTTTCGTCGATCCGCGTTAGTGTCAGCACGATAATTCAGAGACTATCTGAGTAAAAAACTATCGATATTTTATGGCTATACAAAACACTAACCGGACTGACTTGATCAAAATAAAATGAAAACAACATAATTGGTTATGACTAATATTGCCAAAACAATAGAGATGCAGAATTTTCCGACAATGCATGAGTGATGAGTCCATGCCACTGTTGTTACTGTTAATGAAACTCAGTACCACGCAACATGTTTGAAAATTAAAGATGCAAAATCTTGATTAATTTTGTATCACTTTAATTAAACTTGGTCAAAGAATAATTATCAAGTTAATAATTATTAAGCCTAACTGTACAATTAAGTTACATGTAATAGAGTATTGTTTTAACTTTGTACCTCCATAGGCTATTCTTTGGCTGTTCCACGTTTTGATGCCTTGGACCATTTCTTGTAGTACATATAACACATTCCCACAAAGTTATAGAGAAAAGACAATGTTAGTTCTGCCAGTTAGGTCTGGCAAGTGCTAGTGCACCACTACTCTTGCTACTTGAACATTCGAACAAACTTGTATTAATTTCTTGTCCATGACTTACATCACCCTAAATGAGAAATGTCCATTATACTTAATTATAAAATAGTGACAGTATCATTATAACACACTTTAAAAAATATTGAGTCACATATCCCAGGCTTCGATTACAGGGAAATTTAATGTAGAGTAGAACCCAACCCAGCTGTTCAGTTAGACATTATTTATATGTGATCACCCACTCCCATTGAGCGCCAGCGCGCTCCTGTTGATGAGTAAAATTGTCAGTGTTAGACAAAGTAACATAATAAAGTAGGGTGCCATGCAACTTAATGGGTTCATTGTTATGGTATGCCAAATAAATTGTCTCAAGCAATTTTTCACATATGAGTTCTGGCATTTATAGGCCCTATAGGTTGAACCCATTAAGCTGCCATGTACCCAAGCTTATTATTTCACTCTCAGACCGTCTAATGCCAGGCAATTTTACTTTTCAAGGGGACAGTCTTGCCATTAATGCATTAATTGTATTTCTTAACTCCCAAAGTTTCATTTTACATCACAATATATCACAAATGATCTTGCAGATCTAAGAGAGGAAGTTAACAAATAATGCCTAACTGAATCGTTGGGCTCTACTCCAATACTGGGGACACCACCACTGAAGCTGCTCTCAAACATGTCATCAATCAATTTAACGATTGGTTAATTGTCAGCGCATAATTTTGGTGAATGCCAGGTGGCTGGCACACGTACTCTACACCTTTCATTCCTACAAATACCTAACCACAACTTTAATGACTGTGGGATTTATAGAACTCTGACAAACTATCGGTTGGGCAAGATTTATTTTGTTAACCCGACCGCGCACGGATGAGGGACTGTGGAAGAGTCAGGGAAAAAACACAAAGCTATTAAAATTAGTTTTTAAGACAATAAAGCCCCGTACTACTTTTTTGGTTCTTGGACTACCTAAATAGGTAGTGGTACGGGTACCATTTTAATTTATCCGTGTCGTACCAAAAGTTGAGCGTAGTGTAAACGGGGCTTCAATGGAAATTTGCCCACCTACCTACAAGCTTATCTTTGTGTTCGTGGCTTGGAGTATAAAATACGAAATTCTGAAATGAAATTAAACTTGCCCAATCCGCGAACAAATTACTTGAGGTAATTCCGCAGTAATTGTTCCCGAAATGAGAAGGTGCTGAAACTTCCCAGGCATGGAGTTTATGATATACTTAAAGTAAAATCACACAAAAAAGTCGGGGTCACCAAACTCGTTAAGAAGATATGACATTCACAATATATTATAATACCTTTACCCCAATACAGTGGCGCCGTGGGACCCATGTTTTTGGGGGGGCCAAGGGCAGTACCTTTACGACAAACCGGAAAATAGTTTCCGACAGAAACGTCGCGAAAATTTTTTTTAACTTAAATTTTTATTGGTGACCTCCCGCCTCCCCCGTCGCCAAAAAAATTTCGGTCAGTGTACCATTTTAGGGGTCAAAAAATTTTTCCGGACATACCAAAATTTTCCGTTACATATTAAAATTTTTCCGGACACCAATTTGCTCCATTTTTCCAAAATTTTCCGAATATACCAACGTCGGAAACTTTGAAAATTTCCGACAACGTTGACAATTTTCCAAAAATATCCGACAACATTCACAATTTTCCGACGGGTCTCCACAATAGGGGGGCCGTGCCCCCCCTCCCTGGCTCCCCTCCGGCCACTGCCCCAATATGGCGTAAAAGTGTGCAATGTAAAATTGCGGAGTTACCTTAAAACGAAGCTTTTGTTATAGCGGAGCAGTATTGTGGAATACCCTCCCCAGAAACATACGAAAGCTTAAATCGTTCTCTCAGTTGAAGAAAGCAGTAAATGAGTATTTGCAAACTTAAACCGACTGCCACACGCAGGGGCGAAACTAGCCCCTTTTAATTGGGGGGGGGGGGGGG